TCCGCTTAATATATCTATTTAAATAAGGGTATTTATAAATGCTGAGCGCTTCCTATTACAAGCGGCTGCTGTAGGTTTAAGTATAGCGTTGTAATTGTTATAAGCTTCCTCCACCGTCTCCTATAGCTAAACACGTGAGCTATTAACTCTAGAAGGCTGCCGAGTAAGCGTACCGCTTATTTTACAGTTTATTTTATTAGTAGACGTACTGCGCACGCGTGTATAAAACTTTCTAGTGCCTCTAAAGCAGTATTAGTACTATATTTTCCTTATTTCCTTCGTTTTTCTGTCTAGTTTTAAACGGAACTTAATAAGCCTGTAGCCCTGCGCCTTTATATACTCTCTAAGCACTTCCTCGGCTTTATCTAGCGTATAGTAGAACCGTGGCGGTAGTGGTTTAAGGGCTATAGTAAGTGTATTAAGGAAGTTAAGAATTAGGATATAATACTTTGTGGCCACGCCGCACTTAGAGAGAGTATTTAGAATTAGTAAAAAACGTAAGCAAGCGAATCGGAGGCCCTGGAGCACTCCTCCGGACTAATTAGAAGATTAGATATAAAAAGGGTGTATATAGAGTAGAAAAGGGGTGTATACCGAGTAAATATAGGGTGTATATTTAGCAGCGCCCTTTTTTATACGTAGCTCTATAACTAGGCCTATATATAACACTATACCGAAATATATATAAAGTTCCTCTCTTATTATAAGCCGCTACGGGCGTAGGTGCTTTTTATTCTCCGGCTAGTTATATTCTGCGTATAAATTTATCTAATTTACAATATTATCCACTAGTTTATTAGTAAAGAAAAGGCGGAAAAGGGCTAATAGGTTATTATTATCGATATCTAGAGGTAGATTAGGCGTGCCCTTTAGGTAGAAGTTATTAATTTATAGTAGCTTAAAGGTAGGTAGTTTCTATAGCGCTAGAGGTGGCTTTTTAGCCTATTTTAAAAGAGGAATAGTATACTAAGTTAGGCGCATAAAATTAATATTATTTAAGAATAAGAATAGCATATTAAGGTATTAAATTACGATTATTTACTAGCTATTTAGCTTATTTATATACCCTAATATTCCTTTTAGTATAATATTAGCCGTAGCTTTACCCTTAGCCTTACCTTAGCGTTAAACGCAGACGTTTAAAGGGATAGTAGAGGCTTAATAGGAATTAAAAACACTAAGTAATACTTTTAAGCTAAGCTCTTAATTAGCTTTAATTTAGGGCGCTGCTAAATATACACCCTATATTTACTCAGTGTACACCCCTTTTCTACTCCGTATACACCTTTTTTACGTCTAATCTTCTAATTGGTCCGAAGGGCTTAGAGGAAGCTCCGGCGCTTAATTCTTACGCGCATCTATATAAAATAGGAAGGCTATACAGCCTTACTATTTTATTATATATTTTTACCGTTTCCGTAAGGCTATATATATAGGCCAGCTATACATAAGGCCTTACGTAAGGCCGTACGTAAGGCCGTATATAAGGCCGTATATAAAGCCGTATATAAGGCTACTTATAGTAAGGCTATATAGTATACCTGTTTTACTATATATATTTCCCGTTTCCTACAGTATATATAGGCCGTTATATTGCTACCTATATACCTATATACCTATAAGCATGCTAAAATAGTTAAATTCTTACCTTATTACGGCCTCTCTGCATTAAACCTAGCCCCCCTACATCGCCGCCGCGCCTTCCTAGCTATCCTAATCTATTAACCCCTCTATATACTGCTCGTATAATATTATCTAATATTAGAGCTCCTTATAAAAAAGCAGCGCTGGCGCTGCCTAAGGCTAAGGAGCTAGCTAAGGCTAAGGAGCTAGCTAAGGCTTAGGATAAGCGCTATTATAACGCTGCGTAGCCCCTTTCCGTAGTGCTGCCTTTTTTCTAGGTGCCTTATCCTTTATACTAGGCGGCCGGCCACGCTTTTTAGGTGCAGCAGTAGATGCAGTAGTAGGTGCGGGCGTAGGTGCGGTAGTAGGGGGGGGCCTAGGTATTACTGCATGCTTAAACTCGGGCGGATTAGTAAGCAAATTGTTAAATTCCGTAATAGCTAGTGTAGCGGCCGACTAAGGAGCACTCTAAGCGATAGGAGCTAGACAGGGGGCTATAAAAATAGGCGGTCCTGGCGGTAGAACTATCGGCGTGCGTTCTGTAGGTATACCTGTAGGTCTAGCTGCCGCACCTGTGCCTATAGTAATTTTAAATCTTAATAGCTCTTGCTGCGTATTATTATACGTATAATAGCCTTTTCTTGCAATAGTAGGCCGGCCGCGCCGGCGCTTAATAACAGCAGGATCCTCTATATCCTTAAAAGGCCTAAAAGAAATAGCTAGCTAATATCCTCCTGGCCGAATAAACTACTAATAGTAATCTATCTCTTCCGGTTATATATAGAGCACCGGATCTAGCTAATTTACAAGCGCTTAGTATAGAGGATTATACAGTTTATACGCATATAGAATGCTATAGATAGACTTAAACGTTTAAGTATAATTAAATAGGTTATATTTATTTAATTTGGCCTTTTAGAGCTGCTTCTTAAGGAAAACAAGTGCCTGCGGCGTTACCTTTTAATATAGGTTACGGAATTCGGGTTTTTTAATATTATACGGAGTATAGGTGTAATATCTAGCTATTTTATTTTTAAACTTAGACCTAGAGTTAAGGATAAGGTTCTGTATATTAAGGAGAACGTTAAATAGATAGCTAGTTAACACCTAAAGAAAGCCCTTAAGTAGGCCGTGTAAGCCCTTATTTCGCGATATAACTCTATAAGAAATCGAATTAGTATTATATATCTCTGCTACTTCCTTATTTCTTAGTTATTCTTTAAGCTATACTCTTATCCTCTTCAGCGCTGCCTATTTAGCACGTATATAAACCCTGTGCAAAGTTTAGGCATTAAATTTAGACATTTTAGTATTAAGAAAAATCACTTATATAGTACTAAAGTGCCGCACCTTATAGGTGTAGCAGGTGGCCTAATTCTACTTATATAGCTACTACTTATTCTCTATATATATTACTAGGTTAGAGCGCTCCTTATAGTTATTAAGTAGCTTCTTCTAAGCCTTATTAAATTAAGCTATAACTTCCAGCTTTATTATAGCGGTCCAACGGGTAAAAAACTGCCCCCTTTTCTCCTATTCCTTCTTCTAAATAGCTTCCTTCTCTTTATCTAATATAGGCGCAGGTGGCGCGCTGCCTGCGGCGTACGTAGGTTCCTTTTTATACACCTTAGCTAGTTTAGTAATAATATTCTTTTCAATATGCTATATACAGAGGAGGCGCGTGACCGTAGGCTATTATTAATATAGTGCGTTCCTTAGAGCTTATTCTTTATCCGTTAAGAAAACGCATAGAATAAGAGAATAGCGCTTAAAGAGCTCGAAGAGCTGCAGTACTGCCCAGTTATAGTTCGCCTCCTTCTCTTTTAGCAGGAAATAATAGGCAATTTCAAAGTTATTGCTAGTACACGTAACGCCGGTAATATGCAGGAAGAGTATACTAAATCTATTAGTTTTATAGGTGTAATCCAATAGAATAACATCGTGATTAGCCCGTAGGATCTCGATAGAATCCGGATAGGCAAAGAAAAGGTGTTTAATTCGGTTCTGCTTATCTTTTATAAAGTTGTATACGTACTTCCTATTACGGCCGTTAGGTGCCGGGAATATAAAGGTTTCTAACGTATAGAGGAGCGCCTAGATAGGCGTAAGGCCGCCGAGAAGCTTGTTCCTATACCGGGTGCGCTTATTAGTAATATTGTGCGCCGTAATAGTAACCCCTTTCTTTAACAGCTTTGTATATATTTTATTAGGCTTTATTCCGCTTAATACATCTATTTAAATAAGGGCATTTATAGATGCCGAGTGCTTCCTATTACAGGCGGCTGCTATAGGTTTAAGCATAGCGTTGTAATTGTTATAAGCTTCCTCTACCGTCTCCTATAGCTAAACACGTAAGCTATTAACTCTAGGAGGCTGCCGAGTAAGCGTACCGCTTATTTTATAGTTTACTTTATTAGTAGACGTACTGCGCACGCGTGTATAAGACTTTCTAGTGCCTTTAAAGCAGCATCGGTACTATATTTTCCTTGTTTCCTTCGTTTTTCTGTCTAGTTTTAAACGGAACTTAATAAGCCTGTAGCCCTGCGCCTTTATATACTTTCTAAGCACTTCCTTAGCTTTATCTAGCGTATAGTAGGACCGTGGCGGTGGTGGTTTAAGGGCTATAGTAAGTGTATTAAGGAAGTTAAGGATTAGAATATAATACTTTATAGCCACACCGCACTTAGAGAGAGCATTTGGAATTAGTAAGAAATATAAGCGAGCGAATCGGAGGCCCCGGAGCACTCCTCCGGACCAATTAGAAGATTAGACGTAAGAAGGGTGTATATAGAGTAGAAAAGGGGTGTACACCAAGTAAATATAGGGTGTATATTTAGCAGCGCCCTTAATTTATAATTATATTTAAATATATTAAAATAGCTTTTCTACCGCAATTTTTAAGTTGCTTAATTTACTTAAAGGGCTACTAATCGCACACCCCCTTTTTACTAATCGTACACCCTTTTTTTACTAATTGTATACCTTTTCCCCTCCTATTACTTTACCACCTTATAATTAGCTCGGATTAACGCGGAGCTTTTTCCGGGTATTTACCTATACGTCTATTTATATATAATACTATATATAAGGCCGTATAGCCTTATATACGGCTATATATATAGCTATATAAATTGGAAAAAATATATACCGATTTATATAGCCTTATATATAAGCCTAAGTCTAAGTATAGAATAGAAGTTCTATTCTAGAAGTGCCTATATACCTATAAGTATACTAAACCTATTAAAACTTTACCTTATTACGGCTTCTTTATATCGAGCCTGGCCCCCCTATATTACTACCTGCACTTACTCTATATACTAATCTATATACTCCTTAGCCTCCTTTTTATAGTTATACTCTGCAGGCGCTACAACGTTTCTACGGCTTGGCGGCCGGCTTAATAACTCAGCAGTGCCCCCCTTAACACCTGCTGGACGCTGAGACCCTTCTAGACGTGCTTGTAGAGCTGCAATCTGTCGTAGGATGTCTGCACGGTCATCCTCTTGTTCCACCTGAGGTTGAGGCTGAGCACTGTCTTGCCTCCGAGCTCCTGCCTCTTTTTCCGTGGTACCTTATCCTTCGCACCAGGCGGCCGGCCGCGCTTCTTAGCTGCAGGTGTTGCTGTATGCGCTGCTGTATGCGCTGCTGTATGCGCTGCCGTAGATGCTGCCGTAGATGCAGCTGTAGGCCTAAGAAGGGCTGGATCAATACAAGAAAGATCAGCCGGTGTAGCTGTCGACTGCGCTGCTGTATGCGCTGCCGTAGATGCTGCCGTAGATGCAGCTGTAGGCCTAAGAAGGGCTGGATCAATACAAGAAAGATCAGCCGGTGTAGCTGTCGACTGATAGGCATTCCGAGCGACAAGAGCTGGACGAGGGACTACAGAAATAGGCGGTGCTGGCGGCGGAGCTGTCGGCATGCGTCCTGGAGGTATGCTCGTATGTCCACTCTGTCTGGTTTACTACGGTATTTTGCTAGGCCGTAGCCCTGCGCTGATGCGTGCGCTTGTAGAGCAATATGCGCTACCTCTGCTGTAGCGTAGTACGCCAGCCGTAGCGACTGGAGGGCCATAGTGAGTGTATTATAGAAGGAGAGGAAGAGGATGTAATTGATTGCGATTAAGGCCGCATTTAGAGAGAGCATTTGGAATTAGTGAGCGACTTAGGCGAGCGAATCGGAGGCCTCGGAGCACCCCTCCGGGCCAATTAGAACGTGGTGAAGCGATAGGGGGGAAGGGGTGTGCGATTAGTAAAAAGGGGGTGTGCGATTAGTAGCCCCCTTTACTTATTAGAGGCGCTGAAATATAAATATATAGGGTAGTATTATTGCGCGATTAGGTTATAAGCCTTTAAAAGGCGAATAAAGCCGCTATAAAGCGTAGAAAGCGCAAAAAAAAGTAAATTTAGAGGTAAAAAGTCCTAATAAAGGTACAGGGGTTTAATATAATTGCTTAAAAGGAAGCTAATAAATAAATTAAGGGCGAAATATATTAAAATAGAAGGCGCCTAAGTAGAAGTATATAGTAGTAAGCGCGCTATAGGCGCTGCGGTAAGATAGAATATAATACTTATATATATTAAAAAGATAAGGAAGTTATTATAGAATAGACTATAAGTTAAATTAAGTTAATATCTATTAGCGTTATAGAGTAATCTATATTTAAAGCTATTAAAAGTTAATAAAGTAGCCAGCTTACTTAGGTAGCCGGCTTACTTATATTACATGTTAGATATAACTGCTTTAACCTTATAGTAGAGTATAGTAATTATACTATTAAGTAATTATTAGATATATTCTATACTATAAAATTAAAGGTTAGTTTAAAACACCCTATATATATATATAGGTGCTATATATATATTATATACTATACTTAGCTATATAGCCTTACTACTTTATACTATAATACGCTCTTAGCTATATAGTATTACTAAGTTAGGTAGCTACTATATATAGAAAATATAAACTATATATTAAAAGGCTAACTACTATAACCTATTACCTGCTAATATAAAGTTGCAGTAATATTATATAAGTTTTACGGGCACTACGCTCCTTCTAAGGGTTAGGCCTTATACCTATAATAGCGCCTGCACTAGCCGCTGGCGCCTAAATTTTAAATCTACACGCTGCTATTATACAGGGCTCTAGCTAGTAATATACAACCGTTTTATTACTATAGTACTTTTAGTTCCTCTATATTTTTCCCTATAGAGTTGCAGGGTTTGTTTAATAAGGCTGTACAGGTTCGGGGTTAAACCCTTTTTAAAGGGGGGGGTAGTATAAGGTAACCGGAGCACCTACAGTATATAGCCACCGAATAGGATGCAGATACATCCTCTCTAAATCATGCAGCCGCCTGCGCAGGCGTATAGCCTGCGAGACCTCTGCGAGTTACGTGCTCGCTTAGGCCGGGGTATATACAGCCCCAGGCCACGCATCACGATTCCTTAAGGATTCGTCTCTCAATACACGAAATCGTCAATTCTATCTACGAGCCCCCTGCCGTGCACTCTTCCATTACACTTAATAGTTTCTAAACGCTACTTTAAGAGTAATAAGATTGGGTATATAGATTAATAATAATGCTATATACGATTAATAATAACTTAAGCACTTCCCTTTGACTTTTACACCTCTTTCCCGGCAACATGCTCTTTCTCAACGCCTTGTAGCCTTCTTTCGACCCGTTCGGTGAAGAACTGGTTGAAAGGCTTCGTGCAAAACGCGCAGATAATCGCCACGCCGCCGAACGCCAGACTGGAGAAGAACACCATATGATACGACTTCACATTCCCGTCCTGAACTGCTTTCACATACAGCGGGATCCTCTCGTTGGCAATACCAGGGATCTTGGCGAATGTAGCAACAGCACCGAGTAGCCCAGACTTGATGAGAAGAGCCGTCGACTTCGCAGAGAGGCTATCTTCGACCGCTAACTTCTTTAGTCGGGGGGGTATCTGCTCGGCCTTGGTGCTTGTCAAGACGCTAGAAAAGATGGCGAGAGCCACGCTGCCAAGAGTCGAGCGACATGACCCTAACAGACCACTTGCGAGGCCGAGATCCGCAGGAGGAACACAGAACGGCACAGCGACAATACCTACGACTTCAACGACGCCGACGGCCAGAGCGCCGAGGCAACAGAGAATGATGGACATGGTGCGTGTGGAGGCATCGGCAGCCGCCATGGCCCCGATGAAGGCGCACATGAGTAGGGCGGCGATGCGGAGCTGCCAATGGCCGAAGCCAAAGCGTACAGTGAAGCCTCCGACGACTTGGCCAAAGGCGATGGACCCGCCTAACGCGCCCGACATTAGGCCTATCATGACTTGCTTGTCTTCGTAGAGGGAAGTGATCATTTGCGGCCAAATGACGGTGAGAGAGTAGTAGAACATCTGTAGGATTATTAGAATTCAAAAGAGAAAAAGCAAGCATTTACTACGTACGCTTGCGACGGATGCGACGCCGATGAGGGCCATGAAACGACCGTTCATGAAGAGAGACATTGGGATGAGAGGATACTTCAGCGGCATGTATATTTCTTTCGGGGTCAGCTTCTCGTCAGCGGTAGGGTACGAAAGTGCGCTTACCATAGAATGCGAAGACCACAAGTACGGCAAATCCAACAACGATTGGAACGATAACATGGTAGGAGTCCCAGAGATAGAGACCTCCGCCCCAAGACAGGCCTAATACAAAGGAAGTGAGTCCGCCGGCAAAGAGAACGATCCCTCCCCAGTCGAGCTGACGGAGTTGCTTGGACATGCTCGTGTCCTCATGCAGTTGCCTGTGAGTCGGTGGATGATAGCAGATAAAGAACAGGATGCCGGAGATGGCGCATGTAATAAGATTGAGCCAGTAGTTCCAACGCCAGCTAAGAGCGGTGTACTGGGCCAAACAGCGAGCGATGAGAGGGCCAAAGGCAGCAAGAGGGCAGGTTGAGAAGAATAGGAGACCAGTAACGATGCCGCGGTGCTTGTTTGCGACAAGTTCCATGAGGACAAAGCTGAAGCAAGTTTGGATGGCCCCGGCAAGGCCCATGAAGACGGTGCCGCCGAGAATGGTATTGATGTCTTTGGCAGTGCCATTTATGATTGATCCTATGATTCCAAGTATAGCTCCTGTGATCATGAACCATCGGCGTCTGATATGTGGTCAGCACATGGGTGATGGATCAAGCAATGCTGCAGGAACCGAACCCAAATATGTCACTTAGTCGACCGACAAGCGTCAAGCCAACTCCTCCGCATAGCGTCTTTATCACGGGGATCAAGGCGTAGTTGGGATCGGGGCCTAGGTCGGCATTGATGATGGTGATGGTATTGACGGGTAGGATGTAGCCTACGACGGGTGAGGGGGAGTCAATAAAGGTCGACGAGTCCAAGTACCTAGGTATAGGCCTTGGGCCATGAATGCAACGGCAGCAACGGATCCAATGAATCGCCAGTTCCGATAATAGCCCTCCGGCATGTCCTCGAGGTCGGCGCCTCGAGCCTCTTCGGCGATCTCTTGTCGAGTGCCATCGGCGGCGTATTCGATGTGGACATCGCGAAGAGATGGCTCAAGATCTTTCTCATCCATGATGGTAGCACAGGACTAGAATACTCTGAATTGAAATCCGCGAGGAAGAGAAAGCAAAGTTTAAATTTGATGCAGACGTATAGAGCGAGAGGCAGCGTTCAATATACTATTTTCTGGCTATGGGTGGCGCAAATCGCCAGATTTTTGTCCCCGCACTGGGGTAGTCTCGCATGAAATTCTGGGGTCGGCAACAGCATTCCGGGTGGTTGGACTTTTCGGAAAACGATTTGCTACCTGTGAATGCAAGCTGGCGATCACTCGACGCGGCTTAGCGGCTGGGCGATGATTCATTGCCTGGGGGACCAGTCTGCGATGGATACAGGCAGTCCAAGCCAGTGCCCCGAGCAGTCGTCAGCAGTCTTTTTAGTGTCATTGCTGGCATATCGCGATGAGACTGGAGGGCTTGGATGACTTCTGAGCGCGCACTTTCTCAGCTGCATGGTAAAGACAGCAGAAAAGAAGGCACCCGTGACTTGGGAGCAGTGACGGGATGCATCATGAGTTAGAGGAGGCCAGACAGCTGCGGATGTGAAATGTCGAGATCAGTGGGAGGTGGTTGAGATGGAGATGCGTCCAGAGGGCTGCAGTCGTTGGTTTTGGTGCTAGGCTAGATCAGGCCGCGCCAAGCATCCCCGCGCCGTCGCCTCCGACATCCGCAGACATTCACCCATTGTGTCCATCCTCCATCCCCTCCATCACCAACCCACTTCTCAAATTGACCCCCAAACCAGCTTCAACCCCACGATGTGCCACGGGACCACGAACACCGCGTAGTAATCGAACAGCGCGTCGATGCAGGCCTTGAATCCCGGCCGCTTCTCGAACTCTTCGTGATGTGCCTGTTTAACGTTAGCGCTGTGAACTCGATCGTCTTTCGAGTTCAGACAGACTCACATCGACAGTTTTCCAGTTGATCAGCAGAATCTGGTCCTGGGGATTCTCAATCTGCGGCCCAATGAAGTAGCCATCACAGCCGGGTTCTTCCTCTAGCACTTTGGTCACCACCGCTCTGAACTGGTCGTAGTATCCCGACACGCCCCCCTCTACAACCTTGGTCAAGGCCACCTCAATCGCCGGGCTGTTGAGAATGCTTTTCAACCGGGCTTCGCTATCGAGGTCAGACGTCCCGAGAAGCGCGTGCTGCTGCCATTCCACTTTGCGCCCGTTCAACGCTGGCTGCACGACTTTGTGGAACTTTCCATATGCTGGGCTTGTGAAAAACGAGTGGCTCGAGGCTAAAGAATCCCACACCAGCACTAGCACCTGTGTGTACCTCTCCTCGAATTTCTTCCCTCGCCAGAGTGCTCTCAAGCCCGGTGCACTTTCATGAAAGTATGAGTATCATGGCCGGATGAACATTTCCATATCAACATACCTTTGCAATACCTCTATCGCAGGAGCTAAGTCCTTACTAATCTCCTCTTCTGTCGGCGTTGGACGGTGAGGGATGAAAATCAGCTGTAGGGCCTGTTTCGACATATTTGGGGAAAGAGTACGAGGACTTTGATTGAATGTGTAAAGTTTTCAGCCCAGCACTCGTTGAAAGCATATATTGCAACGCGTCCATTAGAACTGATACCAGGGATTGCTTCCCCGCAATTAAGACGGTCATTGGAGAGAAACTGACCGAAGACATTCCGTCCGTACTGACAAATCTCAAAAGCTTCCAATTGTTTCAGGTTTGCATGTAACCCACTCCCAAGATCGACTTGATTGAAAGCAATCACATCTCCTCAATTCGAAAACCTCAAATCGGACTTCTAGAAGCCATCATCTTTCCACAGCTCAAAGACGTCAAAGATGGCATCCAACACAGCAGCCCTGAGGCCTGGCCGCCTTCAAGATCGCATCGCCATCGTTACCGGAGCTTCGTCGGGCATGGGAAGATCAATTGCTCTCACCCTTGCCGGTGAAGGAGCTCATGTGGTTTGCGCAGACCTGAGGCCAGAGGCATCGCCAAATGGATTTGAAAAGGACATACACATCCCTACTCATACCGTCATCTCTAATAACGGAGGCACTTCTCGATTCAAGAAGTGCGACATGGGGGTGCCCGAGGAGGTGTATGCGCTGATAGACTTTACCGTGCAGGTACACGATGGCGAAGCTTCCGTTTGAAGTAGATGGCCAAGCTGATTCTGCTTTAGGAATTCGGTCGCCTAGACATCCTGATCAACAACGCAGGTCTGTGGATGCCGCTTCGCGAATTTGTCGAGGAGACGGACGAGATGTGGGACCGCATGATGGCCATCAACAGCAAAGGCTCGACCATCGCCATGCGACAAGCAATCAAGCAGTTTCTCAAGCAGGACGTCACGAGCTCTGGCTCGCGTGGTCGCATTGTCAATATTTCTTCCAGCGCCGGCATCGTCGCCATCGCGCGTGAAGCGACCTACTGCGCCTCGAAAGCCTCCGTTTCGATGCTCACGCGTGCAATTGCCCTCGACCACGCGAAAGACTCGATCAACGTCAACGCCGTCTGTCCAGGTGTTGTGCGAACCGCGCTCTCGAGCACAAACTTCAACGACCCGGAGATCATCAAGAACATGAAAAAGGGAACGCCGTGGCCTCGGCTGGGAGACCCCAAAGACGTGGCTGGCGTCGTGGTGTTTCTGTGCACCGACGAAGCTGTCTGGGTTACAGGACAGAACATCGCAGTGGATGGCGGCTTCACCGTCGGGATACCTTTGTAGACTGATCGCCGCATCGCCAATTCAAACTTGTTACTTTTCGAGCTTCGCCGCACTTCGCATTCAGCGCTCGGGTTTTAAGCATCGCCACATGACGACGTACATACACGAACTAACTTGGCGCCCCAACAGACGAACCCCGCTGCGAACTGCAGCTGACCGAGAAAGTTCGGGTCCATGACTTCGACTGGGCGCTGATTCGCTCCCTAGGCCGAAGTCGAATTGGTCCGAAGTGAGGGTCTCGGACGGACTATCTCACCCCGCCTTTCCACAGCGATGCACTGCGGTAACTTGCCGCGTCCAGCACCCTGTTATTGGATAGCAGACGCCTCTGAGCATTCTCGTCCGGTCTGGTGCATGCGGGGCCCCGACTTGTCGTGCCTGGAAAGCAGCCGTCGCGAGAAGTCGGAGCCGATGCTGGGCCTCCACACCCCCGAGTTCCGGCCTCTCCCTGTGCGCTGCAGTAGTGGAGCAGCTGCATGACTCGAGTCCGGGCTTTGGGCTTGGAGCTCCCCCGGTCTCTCATCTCCACTTTGTGGAGAAGCTGGCACGCGGGCACGCGGGGTACAGATCCCATCAATATCCGCCAGCCGTCTGCCTCTGCTGATATTCACACCACTTGTCTCCCTCCTTTTGGTCATCAATTTCTGCACTCACTTTGTTTCAATCCAGGCAGGGGCCTCAGCCGACCGGGTATAGCTATCTGCAAGATATAGGAATGGCGCCGGGTACCGATTCTCAGCTCCAAGCTGCGTTGGCTTGTCAGCTCTGTCGCAAGTGAGCCTCTTCCCCGGCCCGTTCTTCGCCCACTTTTAGGCCTTCAAAGCCTGAGACTACTATCATCATTCAATCTTCTCCCCCATTTGAGCAATTCTTGCATGCGCATTGTCAAACAGCTACTGATTCTCCACGCAGGCGCAAAATCAAATGGTAGGCCTGACTATCCAGCTGCTGTCGCTGCATCTCTGACTCCAGCCTCGCAGTGGTCGCGAGCTTCCTCGATGCGCAATTTGCGTTGGTTCCCAGCAAGACTGTCAATATCCACCCGGACCTCTGAAGCCAGGGCCTAAAATAGGAGCATCGCAGCGCGGTCGCAAAAGACAAAAGACCAATCCTTCGGAAGACAGTTCTTCACAGCCACCGCGCAACCCAGATGGCGACTCCACAGATGCGCGTGGCCTCAACGCAGACTCCGCTGAATGGGAAACTCGATCCATTCCCATTCAGTCCTCATCTACGAATAATGGAGCAACCAACTCGTCTAGATCCAACGAATTCTCCGGGAACCAGGACTTAACGAATCGCCGCGGCTCCTCAGTTTCAAACACTGAGCATGGAATTCCAACGAGGGTTGGACATCGGCCTTCTCAAGCGGGGTTGGATGCGCGTAGGCCGCTCTCGCCAGCGACCACTGCGTCTACCGGGAGTCCCAGAGATCAGCTAAACATGCAAAGTCTCTCATTCATTATTCATCCTTCGCATGAAAGCTGCACCCCGGAGACGGCAAAGTCCGATTTCGGCACACCATCCCGAACAGAACCCGTGACTTTGATCATTGCGCGGACTTGGGTTGCGCTTGGTGTAAAGCCCCAGGTCATCTATCGACTGTACGTTGCTCAATACTGCCGCACTGCTCTCGTGCTTACTTTGTTTCCAGGGTCGATTTGTATTTTGAGAACTTCACTGCCTTCTCGCTATTTCAACAACCGGTGTTCGAAGTCAAGGCGCAAAATGTCGCCTCATCTCTGCACCTCCATGCGCTCCTAGCGGCCATGTTCTCATTCGCAGCTCCTTTCTATGTTCCCGACATGACCAGCCCTACCGGCTTCCCCGATCCCGATAATCCTGTAGTACCAAACTCAGAGCACTTTGGCGATCTCGCCGAAAGATTCGTCCAGGAGTCTCTCATGAAGCTCGAAGACGAGTCGCCGCCGCTCTGCCTGCTTCAAGCCTTGATATTAACCACATACCGAAAGCTCATCAAAGGCGCTCGAGGCCGAGCATGGAGATCACTCGGGACCTGCGTTCGACTCGCGTACGAAATGAACCTCCACTTAATCGATTCGGAAGGCATCGGTCGGGGAGACGCGCCGCAGTCCCAAAGTCGAGATCAGTGGGTAGCAGACGAAGAGCGACGTCGCGCATGGTGGGCTGTGTGGGAAATGGACACGTTTGCCGGAACCGTGCGCAGGTGTCCTGCGGCGATAGATTGGTCTCAGAACGAAACGTATCTACCCGTCGATGACGAAGCCTTCTTCAGCGGAGTCCCAAAGAGGAGCTGCTACCTGGAGCGAAATGCGATTGACCGGTGGAAGGCATTGCATGAGAGCGGCAATGAGTCTTCAAAAGCTTGGTTCATCGTGGTCAATTCTCTTATGAGAGAAGCGCAAATGCTAGCAAGCCCCAGAGGCGTGCCAATATCCATATCGGGATCATCAAACGACCGGGCATCATCCTCAAGGACTGGCTGGCGCATGCTCCCTGGGAAAGCCTCCAAGGATGTTTCGGAAAAGCTGGGGGCAATATCGAATGCCCTTCGCTGTATCTCTTTGACGCTGCCACAGTCGCTTAAGTACCGGAACCAATATTTGAGCTTCGAATCCACCGGACCTGACGATGCGAATTCCCCGCGTAGGCTGCATAGTGCCATCTATAGCATCCATCTCATGGTAGCGCTAGCAAAGCTTATGATACATCATTACTACGTCTTCTCGGTACCCCCAGAGAATACGCCCGCTACCTCCAGCGAAGATCCGACTAATTCTACGAAGGAGAAATCAGGACATTGGCAATACCGACCCTCCGGACTCGCCCTGGATCAGTACTTCGAAGCCGCCGACGACATTCTCACCATCATTAACCGCAGCCACGAAGACCACGTTCGCTACGTGAACCCATTCCTGGCAAGTACCGTATGGCTTGCCGCGGCAGCTCAACTAATTTCGAGAGTCTTTGGCTCGCCGAACACGGACGCGAATCTCGCGAGGTCGAAATTTGAGGTCCTATATCTACTGCATAAGCAGTTCGTCAACTACTGGGGCATATTCACGGCACTGCAGGAGAACCTGAACACACTTGAGGCACGTCTAGAGCGGATTGGCGCGCGACTGAATGGCGGGGACGATCCGGGTTCCCGACCCCTGACCAACGGGCAGAGCTCGCGTCCGAAGTCAGCAGCGAGCAATCAACACAATGCCAATGACTCGCAGACGGGGTCGAACAGCACGACCAATCATGCTTCTCCGAATCTTTACCACATTCCCCGTTCCGAATTACCTCCATTCTCTAGCATGGCTCACTTGCAGCTCGTGCAAACCCCACACGAGCAGCAGCAGCAGCAACCACAACAGCAGCTTCAGCAGAGTATTCACGACCCATTTGTGCATAACATGGGGAATTTTTCTTCGTTCGGGGGACCTCAGCAGAACGAGATGATGGCCGGATCTTTGGAAGACGCAAATACATTCAACGCGATTCATAGTTCGACTGGCGACATGATCGACGATTTGGACTTTAGCATGAGCTTGGATATGAGCGAGAGCGAGTTGCAGGGGTACCTAGGTGGTGTTTTGTCCGGAGCTTTGATTGGGTGAAGATCTAATGCGAAGGTTTTCTCGCTTTGGGGTAATAATCGATGCGGAACAGGGCGTTTGAGCTTGGGCGGCAAAATTGACGTTCTTGAGGCGCTTTGTATTCCTTTGGGGAAAAGCTTTATCCAGCTTCAAATCCGATACCCATTTCTTTCACCTTTATTTCCCCCTGGACTTAATCATTGCCTCTTCTCCCAGCTTCATTCTCCAGATTGTATCATCAGTGAAGAGTGTATCCCCCGTCAACCTACACCAATTAGCAGTCATCTATTACGCAATCGGCTTCGGGCCCACTCACCGTCAACGCGGTCCCCGTGATGTAGCTAGCCCGCTCACTCGCCAAGAACGCAACCCCATCAGCGATCTCCTGGACATGGGCCAGCCTCCCCATGGGCGTCTTGTCGATGTTCGGCTTGAGCACCTTCTTGACGGCGTCGGTCACGAGCGGGGTGTCGACGAAGCTAGATCCCTGTATTAGACCGAGACCCTTTCACGAATTTGTGCGAGGCTGAGTTTGACCGAGGGTAGGGATGGGGTGGGGACGACCACGTACCCTGGACACACCGCGTTCACGCGAACACCTTTCTTCGCAAAGTCCAGAGCGTCCGTTCGTGTCAGGCCGAGAAGTCCTGGATTATGTTAGCGGTTGAAATCGAACTTGGGCAGATCGAGCCGGGGTGCTGCGTACCATGCTTCGACATTGCGTAAATCGCGTTTCCGGGAACGACAAGCATGCCCAGTACCGAGTCTATGTTTACGATCGAGCCTCGACTGGGTATTCTACCGACGCTGTGGAAAGAATAGTCAGTGCTGAACTCTAGTCCGGGGGTGCTGCAATTGTGGAGACCGCGGAAAACGTACACAGCATCCACGCTCACTAGCGGCTCTTGCGCCTCCATGATCTTTAACTCCGCCTTCTCGCACAGCCATGTCCCTTTCAAATTGATATTGAGCACGCGGTCATAGTCCGAGGAAGGCACTTCAGTCGTCGGTCTCAGTTGAGCGCCCACGCCAGCATTGTTGACCGCGTAGTCGATCCGGCCGAACCTTTTGACGGTGCTGGCGAAGATGCGGTCAATGTCAGCTTCGTTGGTGATGTCGCCTGTGTTTTGAAGCAGCTCGACGTCTGGGAACTGGGTGGCTAGGGCGGTAGCCGTGGATGCAAGGGCGGCGGCGGAGATGTCGACGGCGGAGATCTTGGTACACCCATCGCGGGCAAATTGGAGGAGAATGGCTGTGCCTATGGAGCCACCCGCACCAGTGATGAAGAGGACGCTGGAGATGTCAGATTCTTTTTCAAGCGAGGTACAATTCGGCTGAAAATATGGGAAATGGCAATGTACCCGTTAAGAGATAGTCCCATTGTGTATGTCGTTGGGGATGAAGGGCCTTTGCTCAAAAATGACGCTGATATTAGCCCGTTAGAAATCCCGTGCTCGTTCACGTTCCCACGAGCAAAACTGGCGGACAGACCTATGATATCTATTCAAGGATATGTACAACCGGACTTTCTAGAAGCATTGGCGTATCAGTGGATACTTGCGGGGGATCGACTTCGGCCAAACGCCCGTACGTACAAAGGTATGTCTGCACTTCCATGTCAGGCACGGCTTCTCGGGAGGTCTAAGCAAGCGGTCCAATCTCTGATTGGATATAAATTCAAGAACACGTGATCAGATTCGAATTACAGCGAAATCGTTTGACTTCAGAGTTCGTGGCCGAATTTTTTAGAACCAATTCTCCGCATTTCTATCTCCGCTCAAAATACCTCTCAAACGACGCTGCTCCAAATCAACTATCTAAAATGAGAACGCTTTCTTCGGATCAATCGAGGAAGTGAAGTCCGCCTCCCTCGTCGCCATGTTGACCGGGAACGACACGTGCTCGTGCACCCACTTCCAGACACCATTCTCCTTGGACAGCACTCCTGTGATGCGGTAGATCATCTCGAACTCCTTGTTGTCCTTGGACTTGCCGCGAAGGCGCTGCACCATAGTCGCATAACCAGACGTCTTGGATGTCGCGAAGACTTCGAGGTCTTTGAAGTCGACTTTGGCGTTTGCGAAATCTGAAACAATGTTAGTGGACGACAGAAGCAGCATGAGGGGAAAGGAAATGGGATAAGCGTACATGGGAAAGTCTCCTCAAAGTGCTCCTTGAAAGCACCACGGCCGGTGAAACCGAAGAGATCGAATGTGACCACTTCATCGATCTTGTAGAAGGGCTTGCCGGACTCGGAGTCGTCAAGAAAGTCGCGGTTCAGGCAGCGCGCCCATCCCTTGTAGAATTCTAGGATCTCTTCCTCTTCCTTGAGGAGCTCGGGTTTGTGCGCCTACGTGGAAATAATGGTTAGTATGGAAATTTACTAGGCGTGAGCTTTAGGAGGCTCACGGTGCTGGGAGGATAGCTCAGATTCTTTTGGAGGTCTTGGACCGTCGTCAATGTGTTCTCATCGAAGTAAGACATGATGGAGCTGTGTTGCTGAAAGATGATTGACGCTGGAGGATGACAGTGATTTTTACCATCAGTACACTTAGACCCAGCAACTTTTATACCTCTTCTCGTCCAGAATCTCTCCGCACTCTTCAATACACCACCAATGCCTGCAACCCCGCATTCTGCCTCCGTGTGCAATCCTTCCGCCGCCGGGACGTTTGTCTACTGTCCAGAGTCGTGAAAGTCACGTTCGAAGTCTTGCCGTCCCTACAGGACTACCATTGGCCTGCGAAGTTTGGCCGACTACAGTTTGCGAGAAAGGCAGTACAAACATTCCAGATGCCAATCTGGGACATATTAACCCCGGAATTTGGGCGCGAGTTTCCCCATGGGGTCGCACGGTTTACATGCATTCCCCAAGGATGATGAATCTACACTCGCACCATTGCTGCATGATGCAGTTTTTCTAGGCTCTCCGTGCTCTGTGACGCCGCTGTGTTAGTCCACCTGATCAAAGCTCGGAGCCACTTCATATCTGCCCCGAGGAACACAGCGTCAAGTTAATATATCTAGGAATATAGCCAGGTGTCTTCCCCGGGATCTTTAAGATTAAGTTGACTCTTTCAATACCGAGATATTGATATCTGGCATCATGACTCCAACCACTGTTTCCATCATCCTCGCGTTGCTCTCATATGGCATCTATCGTATACTCCAAACTGGCAGGCGGGATCCGCGCATGCCCAAGGGGCCGCCGACACTTCCTATCATTGGGAATCTGCACCAGATTCCTATGACCGGATTCTACAAGCAGTCAGTTAAACTTATTCCCATGAGCTGACTGAATTGCTAACGTATCTCTAGACTTCGAGAATGGGGCAAGGAATACAAAGGCATCTACTCTCTCAAATTCGGCTCCACCAATGTGATAGTATGCGCGGATCGAAAGAGCGTCCACGACATGGTCGATAAGAAAGGGTTGATGTATGCGGATCGGCCATTCAGCCATGTCGGACATATGATTACGGGTGGTGATCATATGGTGCTGTCTAGCAATGACCCCCTTACCAGGGAAAAGCGTAAAGTCACGACGCACAATCTTTCGGTAAGACAGAGACCTTCTAGACACTTTCCTGTGCTGACCTGCCCCAGCCAAGGAACATCGACGAAAAGGTCGCTCCCATTCAGGAGTCGGAGTAAGTGGCGCTTGACGTAATTCGGACACCTTAACGGCGACTGATGAATACAGAATAACCCAGTTGATGTTCGACTTCCTGGAGAAACCAGAAGACTTCTACAAACATCTTCGTCGGGTAACGTCGTCGATTGCTTGTACGCTGGTCTTCGGTCAGCGGGGTGCAACCTATGATTCGTTCTGGGGATCTGTAAGTCATCTAGCTGGCCGGATCTTCTGTGGAGAAGTACTTCGCTAACTATCCGAAGTGTGTTTACGAAGCCTTAGCAAGCGTCAGTAGATCTTTCCATCTCGATTACATTTCAGCTTATACTTTCGCAGTTCGGAGAATGTCTAGAGCCAGGCGCCAACCCACCAGTCGATGAATTCCCGATCTTCAAATATTGGCCGGCCCGTCTGACCCCCTGGCCCAACTGGCAAACACGGGCACTGGGTTCTCGGGACTGCTTCGATCGCATATGGGGTAAGGCTCGCGAGTTTGTCGAGGAGAGGAGACGGTCCGGCATCAAGCGCGATTGCGTCGCAGATCAGCTATTGGATACGTACGAGGCCAAAGGCTTCCCGTTCAGCCAACATGCCGTCAACATGCTTCTTGGAGAGATGGTGGAGGGTGGTGCGGAGACTACGAGTTCCAGTCTGTTGACAGTGGTGTTGGCGTTGGCGATAAACCCCCAGTATCAAGAGAAGGCTAGGAAGGAGATCGACGCTGTTTGCGGGACAGAAAGGTAAAATCCACTACACTTTCGTGGCAAACTAATCATAGTATTGACTGCTCGTAGATCACCAACCTGGACTGATTTCAAAGACTTGCCGTATGTCAACTGCATCGTCAAAGAAGGCATGCGATATCGTCCTGTGTATGCTAATCAACATCCTTACCTCAAATCCACCACGAGTCACTAATCTGCAAACAGCATTTCAAGTGGCCTTCCTCATCGCAACAATGCCGAAGACACATACGAGGGCATGCTCATCCCTAAAGACTCCATGATCTTTGTCCCCGCCTGGGCCCTCCACCACAACGAGAACAACGGCTATGACGATCCTGACACCTTCAACCCCGACCGCTTCCTCAACCATCCCAAGCTTGCAAACGACTATGCCGGGTCTCCGGACTACAACATGCGCGATCACTACGGGTACGGGGCTGGACGCAGAATGTGCCCAGGGATCCACCTCGCGGAAAGGAATCAGTTTAGGATGGTGTCGAAGCTCTTATGGGCGTTTGAGATTAGAGAGCCTTTGAATGAGAAGGGGGAGAGGGTGCCGCTAGATCCCGAGGCGTATGAGTCGGGGTTGCTGCATGCACCGCTGCCGTTCAAGTGCGATATCAAGGTCAGGAGTCAGGCGCATGTGGATACGATTCGGAGAGAGATGGCGGAGGCTAGGAAGTTCTTTGCCAAGTGGGAGTGAGAGTTGTGCTATTTTTCACATGAACGTATTGCGCATGTTTTGAATAGTATAAGCTTCAATCGTTCATAAGTCGGCTGGGATACCTCATACAGCATCCTCTATCCAATACCTATTGCAATGAGGCATGCCCCTGAGTTAGGAATGTTAACAATATCACCGACCCATTGTGAGATATTAGTTTATACAGCCTGAAAACTCCCTCTCCAGCTCGACTCCCCATTTAACCAGATCTCCAGCCGAAGAACCACCCTTTCTTCTTCACAACTGGCTCCCACTCCAGCGGCGGCTCCGTACCCATATCACCAAGAGCCCGCCGGCCCTCTTTCGCCCACCCACCCTCATCCGGATCCCAGAAGTCACCCAAAACGACCGCCCTACCATGCACGGGACAACGATGATCTTGACAAAGACACACCGAGCACCAATTATCTTGGCAGCGCCTCTCGCGGCCGTGCACCATATCCCACAATCGATTCGCTCTCGTCGTGCACTTGGGCACCTCATCTTCACGCACATCGTCCCATTCTTCAATCTCTCGTTTGTCCTCGGCGGCTTGGAGGTCCCTTAGCATCCGCTCCATATGGCCGTGGTTGCCGCGCAGCTCGCGTGCTTCGAAGACTTTAGCGTAGAGCCGGGAATTGCGGTCGCGGAGGGATTCTTTAAGCAGCTCGTTTTCTTTTTTGGCTTTCTCCAGCTCAGCAGATTTGATGCGAATGGCGACTGCGTTGGCAGTGCGGAAAATAGAGATCTCGTCGCGGAGTGTCTTCTCAGTCTTCCTCGCTAAATCTTTGATAGCGGTATTCGACTGCCCGAAGATGTGTTTTGCGACGTCGTTTGCAGACCTCAGGGCCTTGTTGTCTTGTGCGAGTTGCTGGTTCGCGGCGCGCAGTTGGGCGTTTTCCGTATCTGCGTTCTCAAGCATTTCGACGCGCTCTAGGAGCTCGCTTTCATTTTCTTTCGCAACTTGGAGTTCAGAGGACTGATGGGCGAGCTCGTGCTCAGCTTGAAAGCGGGCAGCGCGTTCTTGGTTTAGCTGGTATGACTGGGATTGATAATGCAGCTGCTGGATGTCGATGAAACCGGCGTGAAGGAGTTCGATGGCCTGAGGGAGCTGGTTGTTCTCGACTTCTTCGGGCATTTTCATCTGCTGCATTGCATATGCCGTGTCTTGAAGAAGTACGCCTACGTGATCTGTAAAGTCGTCATTCATTCCTGCGTTGGACAGGTGGGCAGCCTTTACAAGTGATGCAGGCCGAGAAATTCGAGGAGGCATCGGTGTTGGTACACCTCGACGAAATCTACGGGCTCTAGAAAGTGGATTGAAGCGTTCCATTAACGAGGAAGTTGGAACATGGTCTTGATCTCGACGATTCGGAGTATCCACCGCCAGCTGGCCGAAGTCATACAATGGCCCGCGAAAATCTGTTTCTTCGCCAGTGGGAAGTGGATCGAAGGTTTTAATTTGCGGATTCGCGCTCTGCTGTCTACCAGTTCGAGACTGCTGACGATGTAGAGCCAGCTTGTTCGACTTAGACGCAAGATTCTGGAAGTCTGGAACGCAGTGGATAGGGGTCTGAACGCCGCTGGAGAGTACGGGTTTCTTCGGGGTTACGGCCTGTTGAGTGGATTTAGGCAGAGTTGATAGGAGTGTCAATCCGTCCTCGGTCTCATAGGTATGTTGTGAGTCAAAAGGGTTATTAATGTCCGTTACCGAGAAATCCAATTCGCTATTATCACACTCCCACTCCGAAGGTAGTGATTCCCGTGATTCCTGTCGTGACAAGGTGCGGTCATGATGGTCATCCTCGTTCGCTTCGAGGCTCACAATCAGCGTCGGGACAGATGCCTTTCGCTTGAACTTGCGACACGGAGACTGTGTTCCTTCGGATGAGCTAGCGACGTATGCCGCGGGGGTTTCTTGGATAATAGACTCGCTTTCAGATGCTTCAGATGCCATGATCTTGGTATCCTCCTCATCTCCGTTCTCGCTATGTTCTTTGATACTATGACGGTCCGAGAAGGGAGATTGAGGTGGAGACGATGGTATTTTGACTTCCAATGTCTCTTCTTCCTCGTTAGGTTCCTTGTGGAAATCTTCCGCGTGATTCATCTCCGCTACTTCATCTAGTTCTGCAACTACTGCGGTCGTGACCATGCTAAGTACCTTCGTATCGTGTTCCGTCGCGGCTCTAGAGCGAACATCCCGAGCTCGTACACCATACGTCGCGGTGGAGATGCCGGCATCGGATAGAGATACCAAAGCAGTCTTTACAGCTTCGTCGATTCTATTCGGAACGCGTTCAGGGTCCAGGTGCTCTAGACTTGAGGTTACGTCGTAAGGGGCCTGCACATCATCGCTCTTGGGCCCGGTCTTCGATTTTGTAACTGCGAATGGAGTACGTTGGAACGCTCGCGATCGAGGTCGAGGGGGCGGAATGGGTGTGCGACACTTTTCTTTGTCAAGGGCGCGCGATTGGTATGGCATAATGAGGATGCTCATAGAGGAAGGCTAGCTTGGGTTAGGGATATGATTAGGAAATAAAAGAACTGATGGTGGCGTGGGAGAAGCGAGTGGGGGTGATGAGTAAGGTTTGTAGAGTCGAGGATGGAGTTAGGCCTTTTTGCCTTTACGTATTTGGGGGAAACAGAGCGCACTCCGAGACACGAGTCCACATGGTGAATGTATTGCCTCTTGAATTCTTCGAGAAGCAAAACAACAACTGCGGCTTCAGTGGGGTTAAGCGCACGTGACCGCTAAGCTTGATCAAAAAGACATCAAACAATACGCGCTAGAATCTTTAGGGTAAAGAACTAAGAAATTAATAAAAGCAGTAAATATATTAAATAGGTTCTAAAGTTAAAGAAAAAAAGATAGGGAAATATAGAGGTTTTCTTACTTATTTAAAGTAAAAAATTTGCTTTATTTTTAGTTAAATTTTTACTTAAGTATTTTTATATTTACACTTCTATATTTTAAGTTCTCTAAAATTCCTTTTATTACCTTTTCTATACTAGCTATATTAATAATATAGCAACTTAATCTAATAATAATATACTTTATAAGCAAGTTAGCTATATAAGCGAGTCGGCTACCTTATTATATTTAGCTGCCTTAAACGTTAATTGCTTTATAACGCTAATAGATATTAACTAGATATAAGTTGTAGCCTAATCTGCAGCAACCTTTACATCTTTTTTACACGTATAAGCGTTGTGCCCTGGTTCGCCGCAGCGCCTACAGCGCTGTACGCCGCCGCCAGAGCGCGCTCCGGCTTACTGCCTTTTGCTTTAAGCTGCCTCCTTAATTTTTTAAGCAGCTATTTAAGAGCCTGCTTCCTTTATTAGAATTTTTTCCCTTTAAATCCGCTTTTTTTTGCGCGCCTTGCGCTTTATAGCAGCTTTATTTACCTTTTAAAGGCTGGCAACTATATTATATAGCAGTATAGCTTTATATATTATAATTGCAGCACCTTTAGAAAGGCTATTAAGCGAGTTAAAAATAGCTATAGGCGAGCTATTTTAATATATTTAAATATAATTATAAATTAAGGCTAATTAAAAGTTTAGCTTAAAAGCGTTGCTTAGTATTTTTAATTCCTATTAAGCCTTTATAGCAAAAGGCAATAGTATATAAAGTATAATATTAAGCTTTAAAAGTACTACCTCTAGATTAAATAGTATAAGGCCTGCGCCTTAAAAGCTTACGCAAATATTACTTTTTATAATTAAGTTATAGAATACTACTTTAAATACCGGCAGGAACTCTAGCTTTTATAGCTATTAATAATTAGCAGCCGATATATACCTATAGTGCGATCTTTTATATATATATTAAAATACTGTAGCTAGGCAATACTAAGCTTGTTTATTATCTAGCTATTATCGCTTACTGCTATAACCTAGTCCGGTAGTATATTATCGCCCTTATACTATACAGAGAGATAGTACTTACCTATAATAATAAATAGCGGGATAGCCTATCTATAGGCATTAATTTCTTAGATTATTATTATCTATTCGCGATTACCTAGCTGTATAGCTTTTAGTCGATTGCGCCGCTTAAAGCCTATTATAACTATACTTAATAAGATAACGCCTATTTAGAAGCCAGCTTTATTAAAGTTGTATATATTATTATTAATAATACCGTATTTTGCTTTTATATTATATATAAGCTTAAACTAATTGCTAATAACCTCTAGATCTTTATATAGAGCTCTTTAATAGTTATACTTTTAATTAAACTTTATTTTAAGCTTGTCCGTTCGCTTAATAAAGTTGTTTAGCTAGTTAATGCCCACTTAGCTAGCACCGCGCTCGGCGAGTAGCTTATTAGCCATTTCTTATACAGCAGTTAAGCTAGGCGAAAACCTTTGCAAATCTAGGTCGAGTATATATTAAATAATAGCTAATTCTTTAAGCTTTATAAGCTTCTTTAAATTAGGCTTATAATCGCGTTATGCAGTTATTCCGCCGCGTTGGTTTTAGAGCGTGCTTTTAGGGATATTATATATACCTGCAGCGCGTCGTTCGCTTAGAATTTAATTTCGTCGGATAGCTAGAAGAGCTAAGGCTAGCCTGCCTTCTTTTTGGATTAATTGCGCGTTGTATTATCAACGCATATTAGTTATTAGTTAACGCGTCGCGTTTTCGTAATAAGGTGGCCGACTTACTTATATGGCCGACTCGCTTATAAAGTATATTACCTTTTTTTCTAAAGCTAAGTTCTTTATTACCTTTCCTAATAAATACTCTACTATTTAACTTAGGTTAGTAATTACTATACTTTAGGCTATTTAGATTTTTATAACCTAAAAAGTAAAAAAGAACTTAGGTAACTTAATAGCTAAACTTCCGCCTATACTATATAAGCTAGCCTTAGTAGCTAAATATAGGTCGAGATTTATTTAGAATATTATAAGGTTTATTAAAAAAGCACCTTAGTTATTACTCCCCCTTTCTTTATATATTACCCCTTTTTTCTCTGCGTATTACCCCTTTTATATTAGGCCTAGCTCCGGCCCGTATAAATATTATTCTACTAATTAAACTTACCCGCTTGCCTCCGTGTTAACTGCGTAAAATAGAGAGTATATATTATAAAACGGAAAAGCTATATTATAGGCTATATTATCTAGGCTAATAGAAGTCTATTCGCTCTATCTACTCTAGCTATTCTACTCTAGCTACTCTACTCTAGCTACTCTACTAGCGGAAAGCGCCTAAATAGCTACTACTATCTAATTACTAGCTAAAAGAAACGCTAACTACACCTGTATACTAAGGCCTTATAGCTATTACTTTATTATAAACAGCCTTTTTTTTAAGCGTATATATAGGGGCATTTTTAGGGGCTAGTTAGCTATTAGAAACTAAGGAAATAGAGCTCTAAGTAGCTATTAGAGTGCCTACTTATCCGGCGGAGCGATTTAGCGCTATAGTTATAAACTATATAGGATTATTAAGCACTATAATAGTTTGCTTAACCGCTAGTATACCTATAAAAACACCTGCTATAGTAATTTAGGTGGCCTATATTATAATCTGCATCGATTAAGTTAGTTCCTATCTACCTATAATACTATCTGCTTGCTTTATATAAGCAGTAGTTTTATAAGCTCGCCGGAGATATAATATTCCTCTATATAATCCTAGCCCTCTACTATACCGTCGTGCTTACTGCGCTAGAGCTTATTAATCAACAATTTTAAATTAAAATAGATTATATCGAGTTATATTAGCAGGTGTATAAGTACAGCTATAGCTATAGGTTAATTAACAAGGTATAGTAGGGCCTGTTAGCTTGCCTTTATAACGCTATATAATTGCCGGAGCCTTAATAAGAAGAAAAGGATTAATAGAAAGGTTTACCTTATTTAGAACAGGATAATTAAACTACTAGTACTAATAAATATCCTCTAGAATAACAGTATATATAGATATTACTATAGCGTGCAGTTTTTAGTATATTTTATAATAGTAAGGCATACTATATATCCCCCTAAATATTCTATTATAAATAGAATTAAAATTATCCTTTTTAGCCTTCTTAACTTAGGCAGTAAATAGCCTTAGGCCCTGCTTAGTAACCTACCGAAAAACCCTAGTAAACTTAGGAATTCTAACCTTATACTAAGGAGCTCTACGTTGCCGGCTAAGCTAATTCTTTTTTTTAACACCTTAGCAGTAAATATATTAAAATAGCAGGGTAACTATATTATAGAGGTTGCCTATTAAAATCTAAAAATAGGACTTAATACTGCCGTTTAAGCCCTTTAGCCGCGAGGTTATAGTATTACTAAAGTGCGGTAGAAGGCCTATATAGTATATTGTAATCTACTATTAAAAAGGCCACCACTTTTTAGTAAGGTAGTTAACTAGGGCTTTTTTATATATATAATCTAATTAAATTTTATTCTAAGTAGCTATAAACTTAGCCTTTATAGGTTTTAATAGGCAGAAGTTAAGCTTATTAATAAACCTCTTCTAATCTCTCTAAATAATATTAATATTAGCTACTATTAGCACTTAAGAGGTATATACTAGGTTTTCTAGATCTATTATATCCGCTAATACTTACTTTTTATCCTTCTAAATAGTAATAGCCTTACTAGCAATATTCTTCTATATATACTACTTATACAGAATCTAAGGAATAAAAGGAAAAAACTTAGCTAGTATATTCTTAAATACGAGCTTTTTATCCGTAATAAAAACGCCTAGTAAAACGCCTAGGCGCTGGTATACTAGGTAAAGCTCCCGTATAGTAAAAATATAGTTCTCTTCTTTCTTCCCTAGAAGAAAATAATAGCCTAGCTTATAGTTTTTGCCCTAGTTATTAATACTATTAATATAAAAAAGTAGTATTTTAAACTTATTTATTTTATAGGTGTAATTAAAAAGAATAATATTAGGATTCTTCTAGAATATCCGAACACTTTCCGGGTGCATAAAGTATAGGTACTTAACTTAGTTTACTTTATCTAGCTTATATTCATAGTAGTAATAAGCGTCCGGGTTATTATTACTATATTTCTTAAGCACCTTAAGTATAGCCTAAGTTAGAGTAAGCCTTTTAAGCTTTATTTTCTTCTACTCCTATTTCTTATTATATAGGTCCTGTATTATTATATCCTTGCCCTTAGCTAAAAGGTTATTAAAAATAGCACCTACGGGCGTGCCTCTATTAAGCTAATTATATATAGTTTAGATAGTATTCTTATTAAAATTTTAGTGCGTAATAGAAGTTCTATTCTTAGGATTATATAGCTTATAATTATAAGTATAGACCTTAACCTTAAAAAACTAATTACCTTATAGTAAATATTTTAAAAGGGCTTCTTTAAATAGGCAATTAGTCTTCTTTATACGGGTGCAGCGCTTCCTATTAGCTAGCTTATACTCTTCTGCGCACTTATATTAAACTAGCACCTTGCGCACCTAGGGGGGCATACGCTTATCTATTTTTTTATTATATTTAACTAT